GAAACCATTCTTACTTGGTCAAGGTCTTTTTTACTATATTGATGGATCTAAGCCCTACCCCCAAGCTGAAATCTTTTGGTTGAAAATGTTATCCGAACCTAATCCATCTTATCTTGCTTAGATTCAACAAGATCAATCACTTATGAGCACTTTATTTTCTCTCTTTTATCGAGGTTCTTTTAATGATCATTGACCGCACCACCCCTAAAGATGTGCCGTGTGTTCTTAAGTATGCTCTTATTTCTCCTTCGGTACATGTCTCATGACCTTGTACCATACCTTGCAAAAATTATGCCAAAAGGCTACCGAACTTGTCTTTCGGTACCTACGAGCATGCAAAATCATATAGTGATGAATTTAGTATCATTAGCCATCCTCGTCAAGTAATTAATTTTAACTTATATGTATTCAAAGGCTTATCGGGTGACTTCAAAGATTTTTCATTACTCTTTCCACTCACTCGGAATCAATAAACTTTACTAATCTTCACATTCTCATTCTAAGCCATGAGTTTATAATACATGAATCCTCCTTCGATTGATCTTTTTTCTATAACAAACATGACCTTGTTTCCCACTCCTACATCTACCAATTTGATTCACAAAGCTAACGGATTCCTTAATGATTATTTTAGTAATTCTAACTATGAAAGGGTCGATTTTTTCATGGACGAGAGCATGGCGAAATTCCAGTAGGTATGTGCCTAATTTTAATATTAATAATTAGAGAAGTTGGTCCCAAAATGAGCATAAAAAAATTTAGATTTTCTCTTCCTAGACCCATATGGCTTTCTTTACTTGCTCATCTATATTCATGGTGCCTTGATACTAGTGCTTCTCACCATGTAACCTATGACTTAGCAAATCTCGGTACTTATGAAGTCTGTATCAAGGTTTTGAACAACTACAAGTTGGTAGTGGTGAGTATTTATCTATTCAACATATTGGTTCAAGTCATATTCATTATCTTTCTAGAACTCTCAAATTATTTGATGTTCTTTATATACCACATAACTAGACCTTTACTATATGTCTAGAGATTTGTAGGGATTCGAAGAAACATAAAAAAGAATCGATGCAACAAAAATAATATTAAAAATTTTTTTGCTTCGAAACGCCGCAAGATCCATGAAAAAATAATAAAGTCAAAGGATCAATTCATAACCTATTGTAGCACGGATCACATCTTTTACTTGAAGGATGCTTGAATCACAAGTATAGATCAATGAACTACGACTCTTTCGGTATCCACATAAAAATCTCGATCATTAGAACAATTCTAGAAAGGAGAGTCACCTTAAGTCAAAGTGCTAGCTAACGGTTATGGTGTTTAAATGCTAGATTAGTTTTTATCTCAAGGTGGATAGGCTTTCCTCTCATGGTTCTAAGGTTTTAGTCTCACATAATGTCCTTATATAAATAAATATTATATGTTGGTTATATTTTATAATAACCAGAACATGTGTGAGACATAGTCCCACTAGGAAACTAATTCCTAACCCTAAAGAGAGAAAAACGTGGGGTGATTATTTTGACAAATTAATGTCCAACAACCTTGGACTTGGACTTCATTAAACCCATTTTATATATCTTAATCGAACCAGTCCATTAGTGTAGTTAAATACTAAAATCTAGAATGTATCATAATCTCATTAAGAATCTTAACCTAACTAGAAATTCTAATCCAATTTGAAATCTTAACCTAATTAAAATCCTAATTCAATTAGGAATCTTAATCAAACTAGGAGTCCTTATCTATTTAGGATTTTTGGTTATACTCCAATTTGAGTCGCTCTTTATGTTTGACCCTATAGGTTCTTATTATATTGGTAATGATCTTAAAATCATAATTTAGAATCATAAATAGTGAGTGACATCTAGCAATGTATCACTACTACCCAAGTAATAAGAATGTCAATGATTAGATATAACCTTATCCATGACATATGTTACCATGTAGTTTAGTCCTTTTGTTCTAGATCCTAGATTAAACATGAGGCGTGGAATATGTCATCCTCGTATAGTTCAATCTTAGTGTTTCTTGATCCATGAGTTGACTATTCCAAACAAATGAGATTGGTATCCCATATCAATTCATTTAAGCATGACCATGCATTTCAAATCTCACTCGATCAATGAGCTCAAAGACATCACTCCTATTACATAAGAGGGACAAATCCCATCTACATCACTCATCTCCTCTCGCATGATTCATATTATATCTAACAACCAACTTTATAGTCCATCTTGTTATAAATGATGTTTGATGATATCAAAATATATGACTCTTCATGTAGAAAGCCATAGTGACTTTAAGTCAAAGGACCACATACATCACAATCATAATGAGTCTAACTCATGACACTCATATAACGATCCACATAGTGATCTCATGGTGGGTCGGTCCGATACATGTTCTCCAATATGTACCCATATGTTGATTTGATATCACATATCCATAACACATTGTTATCGATCAATACACGTACCAATTTCAATGCTTTATTGTTGTCCCTTTAATAAATTCATAAAAAATTTTGATTGGGGACATTTAAGAAAAATAGTATTCTTAGGACTTTATCATGTTCATTTAATAAAATACCAAAATAAATAAACATAGTTTGATTGTACTAGTTTACACTTATCATGTTATTATATATATATATATATATAATAACATGATAAGTGTAAAAACTATGTTTGGCTTCAGGGCATATATATATATATAACATGATAAGTGTAAACTAGTACAATCAAACTATGTTTGGCTTCAGGGCATACACTAACAATCTCCCACTTGCACTAGAGTCAATCACCCACGTATCTAATACCTAGTGATCTAACGTGGTTGTTATCCTTCATTGTGTTAGAGGTTTTATAAGTAAGTCTATAACATTTTCATCTATTGATACTTTGTATATCTTCATATCTCCTCTCTCAATTATTTCTTAAATGAGATGAAAGAACCAAAGTATATGTTTGGATCGTTGGTGAAATCTGGATTTCTTAGCTTATGCAATAACTCCACTTATTGTCATAATAAAGGTCAATTGGGTTTGTAATACTAAGAATAACACCAAGTTTAATAATGAACTTTTTTATCCAAACTCCCTCCTTAGTTGCATCTAAAGAAACTATATACTCAACTTTTGTTGTAGAATCGATTACTATCTCTTACTTTGAACTTTTCTAGCTAACATCACCACCATTAAGGAAAAATAAAAAACTTGATTACGATTTGAAATCATCTTTTTCTATCTAGAAGCCGTAGGAAATATCGGGATATAATTAGATAGAAAATATTTTGTATATTATTTCCTATTACGTAAGGATCCTATTCTATTTTCCTATTCTTTAGGAATTCTTTCCTATCTTAGGACTCTCTACGTATATATATATATATATATATATATATATATGTAGTTGTGTAATTAATATATACTAAAAATTATTTTCCCAAAAATTATTTTCTTCGTGGTATCGAGCCCTAGGGTTTCTCTAGGGACAATTGTTAAAATCGCGGCCTTCATTACTACACTTATCTCTTACTTTTTTCGTATTACGTTTTGCCCCCTACGATGGTCGACACACAATCTTCGGAGACCAAAGCTCCGAATTCATCCGTGACATCGATTCCATCAAGTGAGGGAGATCAACCAAGCCAAAAAATAATCAATCTCGAGAGCTTGCTAGGATCCGTAGAAAAACCTGCTACACCTCATAACCAATCTCATGGTTCGTGTTCATTAACGCTCTCGGGTAAAACTCTCATCTCTTTTGGATTAAATGTTTTGGATAATGAGTTTCGGAATGCATGGATTTTAGACTCGAGTGCTATGGACCATATGACCCACACATTCGGTTTTTCAAAACCTATATACCTTATCCCAATAGTCGAAAAATAATTATAGCCAATGGTACAACAACCACGAGTAGTCGGTATTGGAGATATCCAATTTGGTCAAAACATTATGCTAAAAAATGTTCTTCATGTTCCTTGATTATCCAACAATCTTATTTACGTTCATAAACTTATCCAAGACTTGAATTGTCATATTACCTTTTTTGTTGGTTGTTGTGAATTTCGGGATCGGGAGTCGGGGAAGAAGATTGGACTTGCTAAAGAACACAATGGCCTTTACTACTTCGAGTACACCGAGTCAGCAAAGCTCGATTAATTTATCTTCTCCAATCTCATGTTTTTCATAGTCAAATAAAGATACCATTTGGTTGCATCATAGGTGTCTAGGTCATTTTTCATTTTTTACCTTAAAAATAATGTTCCCGAGACTTGTTTAAGGGAGTCGATGTTAAATTTTTTTAGTGTGACATTTGTGAGTTTGCCAAACACACACGTGTATCGTTTCCAATAAGTAATAAAAAATCAAGTTTTCCTTTTTCTTTAATTCATAGTGACATTTGGGGCCCTTCATCCATCCATAAAGATACCATTTGATGATTGCACTAGAACTTCCTAGGTTTATCTTCTTAAACAAAAGTCCGATGTCGATCATATTGTTCCCACCTTTATCTATATGATAAAAAATCAATTTGGGGTACTAGTCAAACGTATTCGGTCGGATAATGCTCGTGACTACTTTAATCGGACTTGTCTTCCTATTTTCAAAAAGAGGGTATTATTCACGAGTCATCTTGTGTCATCACTCTACAACAAAACGGAGTCACCGAATGTAAAAACCGTCATCTTCTTGAATGTACTAGGGCATTTTTGTTCCAACGGAATGTTCTCAAAATTTTTTGAGGGGAGCGGTTTTAACATTGGCCTATGTCATAAATAGGATGGCCTCTAAAGTCTTAGATTTCAAAAGTCCACTTGGAAATTTTGTCTCGGTTCTTCCACGATGTTCGATCTTCCTTCGACTTTACCCCTCGTATTTTTGGGTGTACATCCTTTGTTCATATCCATAATATCACTTGGGGAAAGTTAGATCCTAGAGCCACTTAAATGCATTTTTTTACGAAATTCGATCACTCAAAAAGGATACAAGTGTTATCATCCACCTACTCGGAAGCTCTATGTCTTAGATGATGTCACTTTTGTTGAAAATAAACCATATTTTTCTACACCTTACATTCCGGAGGAGCTTCCTATAATTGTCGATTTTGATATTGATCCGTCTCTTGATATTTCTTCATCGAGAGATATAGCTCCTCATGAACGACCCCTTAATGATAATGTTTACCAATCCACCATTCTCTTACTCGTAGAAGAAACAGAGAACGATGGTAGATTGATTTATCGGTTTCGGTTTGATAAGGTGTATATAAGGAAAAAAGACGCCATTCCTGCTTCTGCGACGAAGATCAATCACTTGTACCGAGTTACGAACCCGAGGTAACGAGTTTCTAACATTTTTCTCCCTCATCCGATTCTACACAACCCGAGATTGATCTTCACAAACCTATAGCCTTAAGGAAAGGAACCCATAACCGCACAAAAACACATTTATACCCACTCGGCCAATTTTGTGTCTTTCACTAATTTTTCTCAAAATCACCGTAGCTATCTCGTCCACATTAAATTCAATTGCTATTCCTAACTCTTTGTTTGAAGCTTTATCTAAAGAAGAATGGAGACTTGCTATGATTGTAGAGATGGAATCACTCGGAAAAGAATGGTACTTGGGAATTGGTGTTGCTTGCCTCGAGGGAAGAAAATAGTCGGTTGTAAGTGGGTGTTTGCGGTGAAACTTAAGGCGGATGGGTCTTTAGAACGATACAAGGCCGGACTGGTTTCTAAGGGTTATACTCAAACATATGGGGTTGATTAGCAAGAGATGTTTTCTCCGAGTAGCAAAGATGAATACGGTGCGAATTTTGTTGTCATTGGCAATCCACTTTGATTGGGAGTTACAACAATATAATGTGAAGAATGCATTTTTACATGGTAACTTAGAGGAAGATATTTACATGAGCATTCCACCTCGGTTTCGAGTGGCGGTGATGGGAATCAAGTTTGTAAACTCAAGAAGGCGTTGTATGGCTTCAAACAATCGCCCCGTGCTTGGTTTGGTCGATTTACTCATGTGATGCTTGCGAATGGATACAAACAAAGCCAAGGAGACCACACTTTGTTTATCAAACACACTGCTTCGTGGGAGTCACAATTCGATTATCTACGTTGATGATATCATTGTAGCCAGGAATGATGAAACGAGAGAAAAAGTGTTGAAGCGAGTGTTTGAACCAAGAGTTTGAAATTAAAGACCTTGGGAGATTGACATATTTTCTTGGCATAGAGGTGGCTCGGTCTAAGCAAGGAATATTCATTTCACAACAAAAATATGTTACCGATTTACTCATGGAAACCGGGATGACGACAAGCAAACCTACGGTAACTCCGATTGAACAAAATCATCGATTAGGAGAAGCTTTAGGTGATAAGAAGGTGGAGAAGGAAAGGTATCAACGTCTCATAGGAAAACTCATCTATCTTGCTTATACTAGGCTGGACATAGCTTATTCTGTGAGTGTTATTAGTCGGTTTATGTATGATCCAAGAGAAATTCATCTACAAGTTGTTTACATAGTTCTTCGTTATTTGAAAGCTCACCCGAGGCAAAGGAATTCTATTTAAGAAAAAACAAAATATTGATCTAGCAGTTTACACGGATGATGACTTTACGGGTTCTCCGAGTTGACGGAAGATCGACTATAGGATACTGTACTTTTGTTGGAGGAAACTTGATATATTGGAGGAGTAAAAAACAAGATATGGTTACATGATCAAGTGCGGAGGCTGAATTTAGAGCAATGGCGGTAGTGGGTGAAAATCATCTTGAAAGATATTAAGGTTGAATGGTGCGGTCCAATGAAGCTCTACTTGTGATAATAAATCGGCCATAAGTAAAGTGCACAATCTAGTGCGAGCATGACCGAACTAAACATGTAGAGGTGGACGGACATTTTATTAAGGAAAAGCTTGACGAGTGGATTGATTTGTACTCCATATGTTCCTACGGATCTTTAGTTGGCGAGATGTTCTAATACAATGATTAAACGAGTCATGCATTTCAAGAAAATATATGCAAGTCTGGGAATGGAAGACCTATATTCACTAGCTCGAGGGGAGTGTAGGAAATATCGGGATATAATTAGATAGGAAATATTTTGTATATTCTTTCCCATTCTATAGGGATCCTATTCTATTTTCCTATTCTTTAGGAATTCTTTCCTATCTTAGGACTCTCTATGTGTGTATATATATATATATATATATAGTTGTGTAATTAATATATACTAAAAATTATTTTCCCAAATATTATTTTACGTAGAAACTAGCATTAGTGTAACCTTTTACTACTAACTCTTTAGAACCTTCATCTACCAAAAATAAATCTTTAGTTCTATTGAGGTACTTTAGAATATTTTTGATAATAGTCTAGTAATTCTCACCTAGATCAAATTGGTACCTACTCGTCATGCTTGGAGCATATGAGACATTGGGATGAGTACATGTCATGGCATATATGATTGATACAATTGTAGAAGAAAATCATATCTTACTCATACGGTCTCTTTCTTCCTGTGTGGATAGGCATTGAGCCTTAGAGAGATGTATATAATGTGACATAGGCGGAAATCCGTTCTTGGATTCATTCATGCTAAACCATTTTAGCTCCTTATCAATGTACGTACATTAACTTAGGCTAAGTAATTTCCTTGATTTATCTTTATAGATTTTGATGCCCAAAATATAGGTAGTTTCACCAAAGTCCTTTATGGAGAAATAATTCCCTAGCTAAGTCTTTACGGATTGTAGGTTGGGTATGTCATTTCCGATGAGTAGTATGTCATCTACATACAACACCAAGAAGACAAATGTGCTCCAACTAACCTTCTTGTAAACACAAGGTTCATCCTTGTTCTTGATGAAACCAAACTCTTTGATTGCATCATAAAAAAAAGATTCAAACTTCGAGAAGCTTGCTTTAACCCATAAATGGATTGTTGTAGCTTACATACTTTTTCAACATTTTTTGAATCAACAAAACCCTCGAGTTGTGTCATGTACACATCCTCGAAAAGATTTCATTAAGAAATACAATTTTGACATTCATTTGCTACATTTTATAGTCATAAAATTCCATAATAGCGAGCGAGATCTTAATGGATTTAAGCATAACGCCTAGAGAAAAATTTTCATTATAGATATCATGAGTTTGCTTAAAACCCTTAGCAAATAATCACCCCTTAAATGTTCGTAAGATACCATCCATCTCTATTTTCTTTTTCAAAACCCATTTGCACCTAATAGGTTTTACCCGTTTAGGTGGTTCAATCAAAGTCCATACTTTATTTATGTACATGGCTTCCATTTCAAATCTCATGGCTTCTCGCCATTTTTCAAAGTCTAGGCTCGTGATAGCCTCTTAGTAGGTAGTAGGCTCATTATAATCCATAACAATGCATAACCACTTTGAGTCATGAGAAATCAATATATCTTAGGCTCATTACTTATCTCACTAGATCTACATGGGCTTTATGTTATTTGAGTAGGTATTTAGTCAACAATAACTTGTGCCCTTTGCTCAAGTTTTGCATGAGGTGCATTGCTATCTTGGGGATCATGAATTTCTTTAAGTTCTACTCTCCTCCTACTAGTCCTTCTAGATATGAATTCTCTTTCTCTAAAAACATAACGGTTCGAGCATCAAAAAATTTGTTCTCATTTTGATTATAGAAGTGATATCCCATTGTTTCTTTTGGATAATCCACAAAATAGTATTTATCGGATTTGGGTCATATCTTATTTAAAGCTTGACGCTTATACATGCATCATAGCCCTAAATCTTCATAAAAGACATTCCAGAACATTTCCAGATCCACATCTTCATAAAAGACATTCCAGAACGTTTCCCAGTCCACATCTCATATGGTGTTTGTTGGATCGCTTTAGATGGAACATGTTTAAGTGTAAAGGTAGCTATTTCTAGAGCAAGTCCCGAAAGGGAAATTTGAATATATATGTGACTCATCATAGGTCATACCATGTCCAACAAGGTGTGATTTCTCCTCTTAGAAACACCATTACATTATGTTGGACCCGATGGAGTAAGTTATGATAAAATACCACACTCTTTAAAGATAGTAATCAAATTCTTGGCTCAAATATTCACCATATCGATCCGATCACGGAGTCTTGATACATTTTCCAAGTTGGTTTTGCACTTCATTCTTGAACTTTTTGGACTTTTTAAAGGATTCGACTTGTGTTTCATGAGATACACATAGCCATATCTACTAGAATCATCGGTAAAAGTAATGAAGTAATGATAAACTCCTCTAGCTAGTGAGCTTATGGGCCTATATACATCACTATGTATAAGACCTAAGAGATCACTAACCCTTTCACTATATCCGAGTAAAAGGGACTTTAGTCATTTTATCCAATAAACCTAATTCACATCTCTCATATGATTTAAAATCAAACGAGTCTAAGAATCCAAATTTATGAAGCTTGGATATGCACTTCTCCTTCATATGACCTAATCGATAATGCTAGAGATAAGTTGGGTTCAAATCATTATATTTGAACCTCTTGGTAGTAATGTTATAGAAAAGTGTCTCAAGTTCCAAGAGATAAAGACCATTGATTAATTGTGCACTACCATAAAATATTTCATTTAAATAAATGGAGCAATGTTTGTCTTTTATTATAAATAAAAAGCCTAACTTGTCCAAACAAGAAATGAAAATAATATTCTTACTAATGCCAAGCATACAATAATAGTCTTTTAAATCAATAACTAGCTTAGAGGGAAAAGGTAAACTATAAGTTCATACAACTAAAGTAGCAACTCTTACTCGTTGCCTACTCGTAGGTCCACTTCACCTTCAGCCAAAGATCTACTCCTTTAAAGTTCTTTGACATTTATATAAATGTAAGAACCAAGTCCGAGTATCTAATACCCAAGATGAAGAAGTAGATAGATTGACTTCTATAACAAATATACACGGAGTAGAAGTCTCAATTCCTTTCTTCTTTTTAGTTCTTATAAATAAACCTTGTAGTTCCTCTTCCAATGTCCAATCATACCATAATGGAAGCAAGTTTCCTCGTTTGACACTTAACCTTTAGGTTTCAATGCTTTGTTATTAGGCTTGCTCTTGGGCTTGTTGATTTTCTTGTCCATGCCATTCCGAACCATTAGTATGGAAGTGGGTTTGGACCTTTTTAGATTCCGTTTAGTAGTGGTTTGTTAATTCCATTCATGTTGTAGTTCATGATGAATTGATTATAGCTCTCGAGCAACAATTAAAGAACTAAATTGGTGGCTAACTCTTGGCCTAGAGGAAAGCTTAATCTTTCAAGGCTCTCAACGACCCAATCAT